AAATATGACAAGCTAGAACCGAGGGGCAAAAAGTGTATTTTCATAAGATACTCTAAGAACTCTAAGGGGTATGTCTTCATTGGTGAAAATGATGACGGCTCAGTGACTGAGATAGAGTCAAGGGACGTAACATTCATAGAAACTGAATATCCTAGCAGAGGGAGTATTGATTGAACAAGCCGTCTTTATGAGGATGATGGCAATGAGGTACAACAAAGTGTTCCTCAGTCTATTGATCCGAGTGGGAGGGTTGAACCATTTTCACAACAAGGTTTAACCCAGTCACAGGAAGTAAGTCCTACAACAACCCCACTTAGGAGAAGTAATAGAGACAAAACTCCTAAGAGACGCTTCTCAATTGAAGGAGCAACCTTCATCGTCAGTCCAGAACACGATGAAGAAGACCCCGTAAGTGTTAAAGAAGCACTAACAGGACCTGCTAAGGAAAAATGGCAGAAGGCCTTACAAGAGGAAATGGATTCCATGAAATCCAACCAAGTATGGGAATTAGTTGATCTACCACCTGGCCGAAAGGCAATTGGGAGCAAGTGGGTTCTCAAGTACAAACGTAAGGCTGATGGATCAATTGATAAACCCAAAGCAAGGTTAGTTGCCAAAGGGTATACACAACGGGAAGGAGTGGATTACGCAGACACCTTCTCACCTGTTGTACGTTTCAACTCGATACGACTAATACTGGCTTTAGTAGCAAGTTTAGACTTAGAGTTACATCAGATGGATGTAAAAACCGCCTTCTTGAATGGAGAACTAGATGAGGAAATCTATATGGAACAGCCTGAGGGCTTCATACAGAAAGGGAACGAACAAAAGGTTTGTAAACTATTGAGGTCCATTTATGGACTCAAGCAATTATCTAGGCAGTGGTACTTAAGGTTCCACAAAGCTATAAGCTCCTATGACTTTGAAATGATCGAGGAAGATCACTGTGTTTATATCAAGCGGTTTGGAGACAACTTTGTCATTCTATCCCTCTATGTCAATGACATACTACTGGCTGGTACCAATCTTAAACTAATAAAGATGATCAAAGAGTGGTTATCCTTGAATTTCGAGATGAAAGACATGGGCGAAGCAGAATATATCTTAGGCGTTAAGATAAGAAGAGATCGTTCTAGAAAATTGCTGTCATTGTCACAAAAGGCATACATAGCAAAGATTCTTAAGCGTTTCAATATGAGAGACTGCAAGCCTATGGATACCCCTGTGGTTAAGGGACATAACCTAAGTGAGGAAATGCGCCCTACAAAACAATGCGATATAGAACGCATGAAGAGAGTCCCATACTCAAGTGCCGTTGGCAGCCTAATGTACGCCATGTTGTGTACCAGGCCAGACATATGCTTCGCAGTCGGACTTGTGAGTCGATTCCAATCCAATCCAGGAGTCAAACACTGGGAAGCTGTAAAGAGGATTATGAGATATCTAAAAGGAACCATGGACTATGAGCTATGCTATCAAGGAAATGGCCTTCGTGCGGAGGGTTATTCCGGTGCTGATTGGGCAGGAGACCTGGACGAGCGACACTCGACGTCAGGCTATGCTTTCCTACTGAATAACAGAGCAATCTCCTGGAGCAGCAAGAAACAAACGTGTGTGTCTCTTTCATCCATGGAAGCAGAATATGTAGCTTGTTCTGCAGCTGTCCAAGAAGCTGTGTGGCTCAAAAGGTTCTTAGTACGATTGGGAATCTATGGTGGGAGTGAGGGACCAACTCTGATTCACTGCGATAGTCAAGCAACAATAGCCTATGCAAAGGACCCTAAGTACCACAATTGTACTAAGCATATAGACATAAAGTATCACTTTGTAAGGGATATGATCGCTAAGAAACAAGTGACAGTTCAATACTTGTCCACTCATAAGATGTTGGCAGATCCCCTAACCAAGCCTATAGCTAGAGATCCTTTCGTTAAGCATGTAAAGGCCTTGGGCATGCGTAGAGCATGATGTATTGAACTCCTTTTTCTTTTTGATTTTTTTTTGTTCAAATACGCAGGCATAAGGCATGTTGTACTGAACCCTTTTTCCTCTTACTTAGTAATTCAATGCATTTCAAAGAAATTTTTCTTGTACATTTGTGTATTTATACATGCATAGGCACAAGGTATGCAATACAAATATGTCGTACAGGTCACAAGGTTGGCTCACTCACACGAGCAACTGCCTCGCTATGTTCTCATGGGATATAGAAGGTTTGACAGCAGATGATCACCATGAGATGGTAGAGAAGAATCACTACACAAATGTCACCTCAGCTAGACTGAGATGAGACCCATAAAAGTTTGGGCCGAATCATGGATAATGTGTCATCCATGAGACCTGTAGCCAGACAAGGAACTCTTTACTAGTGAGACGTCATATATAGTTGTGATGAAAGAGCTCCTGGTTCAAATGTTGGAGTGCATGTGGAACTTAAGTCTGTATGGTGCTATTAAAACCAAAAGCGACATACTCCACTTGGTGGGTTGAGCACCGTAACATGCAATTCATATTGCATGGGCTCACTCAAATCCGCAACAAGGGACGTAGATGGAAGATCCCTGATCCATTACGGTGTAAGTCCCAGAAAGGAAATAAACCTTTCATAATGCCCTTAAGACTTAGACAACATCACAAGGTTTTGGTTTAGTGGCAGCTACTCTAGCCTAAACCCCATGGTCAAGGATGATGCGATCTAACGGGTCAAGACTGAGAAAGCGACTATGCCAAATCTAAATGATGAACAGTCAGAAGGAAGATTTATCCTGAAATACACATCTACGTTGGTGTCTGTGACATGTCCCTTACAGGTTGAACAGAACAACTAAGCAAGTGTGGATACCATACGTATGGAAAAGGCAATCTGAGTAAACAAATAACTCGAGAGGGATTAGATATGCCACAAGTAAAGTGTATGGATAAAACTAGGGCATTCGAGGCAACAAGTATACAATTTGCAGGTACACCAAGGGTGTTCTTGTGTGCTGGTCCTACATAAAGGATTCCTAGTGCACAGGCGCCCGAATCGATGACGTCATGCCCACGCGGTCACGGCAGACACCTAGTATGAAGCAATGAAAGATTTAGCTATCGCACGATGGGCAGCCCATCAAGTGCGAGTGGGAGATGTTAGATTTTTGGGCTTGGATCCGCCCTTGATGGGCCGGATTATTTGACCGGGTATAAAGAGAATATATCAGTCAAATATCCAAGTGATATCGTGATATGTTTGACTTGGTCAAACACCCTGAATCATATCCAATCGGTTACGATATAAATCTAATTAATTTATATTAAATTAATTAATTTATATTGTGTAGATTAATTATATATTAAGTATATATATTTAGAATTAATTGTGATTGATTCTGGATTTGAATTCAAAATATCATGATATTATGAGATAAGGATATATTATATCTTATCTCAGATTTTATCTGATGGGCTCAGTGGATATTTTTATGCTACCCAAAATATCCCTGACAAAAGCTATAAATAGAGGCTTCCCCCCATCAGTTCAAATCACTCCAGTTGTAGAGTTTTCCAACTATCTCTCTCTCTCTCTCTTATTTTCTTTCTTGCAAAAGTGGTGCTCTGCTGTGCACTTAAAAGCTTAGACTTTTATAGTCTAGCTTAAGCGTGAGCTAAGAAGATCCGACCGACCCGACCCAAGATCCGACCCGGTATGTTTTCGATCCATTGTGTTATTTATCTTACAGTATATATATAAATAATTCACATACATGTGGCAAACTTGAACATCAAGTCTCAATATTAATAGTCAATGATCTCAAGATATAATGTGTAGAAAGTTGGGTTAAAGGACTGTGATCAATATGTTTTTTTTTTGGTGAAAATGAGAAATTTTAAGAAAAGGGTTAGACTCACCCACGATTCAAGGACAGGACAACTAACCCTTGACCCCAGCCCTACCCAGCGACATAGCTTTACTGGGACGGGGAGAGCTCCACGTGGGAGATCACCACATGTTACGAGCTGAGGCCTTGGCTTCGAAGATGCCTCCCCCAGGGCCGCGACTGGAGCCACAACAAAGTGGCACTCCCCAGGATCGAAACCCCTCCCTTTGGTGAGAGTGTCTGACCCCTTCGCCAGTTGAGATCAATATTTTTTTCTTGTGATTTGATGGGTTTAACATCCCAACTCAGCAGAAAGGTTCAAGAAAATAAAGTTGCATCACAGTTAACGGCTATAAATTAGTAGTCAGGCTGATCTTACAAATTGTAAATATAAATGCTTTGAACTACATATATATAGCAGTATATATTTTCTTTCTTTTTTCTTTTTTCTTTTTTTTTTTACTGCCAAATAAAACATGACCTAGTTCGTTTCTCAAGATTTTGGCTAATATTTAATGAAGAATGAATTAACATCTATTGAATTTCAAATGGTTGAAGAAAAACATAACATGAATCATAAGCTGATTATAAAACTTGCCTCATTAGAGATTTGATCAAATGATGGAAAATAATCATCGTTAGATTCCATTTTTTGCTCAATATCTTTGCCAGCTACTTCTTGATTGTCTTGCTGCTGGTGTGTGTTAGAAAATAGAAATGAAAATTAACCATTTATTAAAAGAAAAGAAATATAAATGAATTGAAATGCTGATGAGCAATGATTATCATGCTTAGTAATTATTTATTTCTATTTAATTAACATTGGGTACAATAAATTATTTTTTTATCTCATTTTACAATTTTGGGGTTTTCCCAATTAATTGGGGTTTATTTGTTCAGACTAATTTTCGTTCTCCAAACATAACAGTACTGCTTAATTTCTACATTTGTTTTTATATTTTATAATGTTGATTAAGGGAAAAATCCTTATGAAATAAACTCGAAATGCTTACACTTTAATTTATCAAATTAACTAAAATTCTTGTAATAAATTTTTTAAATAAAAAAAGTTTAAAGTTCGATTCTTTATTAATTAAAATATCATAATAGAAACATTAGAAAATAGCAATTAATCAGACATACCTGATTAGAGAACCTGTAATTATGATCTTCTTGCATTATGATATTACCACTATCAAATCCGTTGTTCCCTTCAACTCCAATAGTTTGATGACAGTGATCTCCTTCATTATTCAAAACCTCGTTTGGCTTTCCTTGTTGCTCCAACATATTTTCCAGAATATTGTTATTATTATTATTGTTTCTCTTCATGTCTGGTAAACTTTGGTTTTCCCTAAAAAGCTCGTTATTACCAGCAGGAGAAACCCTTTCATCACCCAAATAACAATAGTTTGAGCCATTGTTGAAGGAATTATTATACCCACAATACTCATAATAAGTAGTGCTCGATGAAGTCCGAGGAAACCCTAACCCTAATAATCCAGCATTATTAGTGGTGTAATTACTTGAAGTACTTGCAGGAACTTGACCATGTAATAGTCCATAATTAGGGTTCATCATCATTTGGGTGGAGAAATTACTAGAATTATGAGGATGATACTGAAACTTGGGAGGCTTGAATAAGGATGAAGAATTATCAGGGTTCTTGTAGGATGAATAATAAGGATATGAAGAAGAAGTTCTGAGTTTTCTGGACTGTAACATTCTTCTGAATTCCTCTTCGATGTTCTTTAACATCAGTGAGTCAGGGTACTTTGATGCCAAACTTGTTAAGACATCCTTGTTGTCTATCTCATTGTTGATTACCATCGCAAACATTCGAGCAACTCTCTTTAGAAAAAGCCGATATTTCTGCAAAATATTAATCAGAATTTCACATATATAAATATATATATTCACATCTAACAGAAGATAATTAAATACTACCGATATCCTTAATATAAGAGGTAATTGGGAGTTTGATTTGGTTATAAATATAAGATTTTAATTTACTTTGTCTTTCAATTTTATAATTTATTATCTAAAGTATTCATATTGATTATATATATTAAGAAAGATTCCATCTAATAATAGTCATAATCAAAAGGATACTTTAGAAAAATTAACTCATATTTGTTACAAATAACTAATTTAGCTAACCTTTTTAATCTATATATTCAAATTAGTTGAGAGGTAGTATGTTAATATAACATAATGAGTTCATGAAAATTGTGTTATTTTGTACTAAAATTTAAGTAGTTTCACAGTGTTTATGACTAATGTCAGATTTCACAATAGTTTGAAGTGAATGGCTAGCTATTTCCATATTCACATGTAAATCAGTATAATATATATATATATATATATATCTGTGTGTGTAAGAGAATTTCATATTTTTATTTATTTACAATTTATCTATGTTCAATTTCTGAATGAGCTGTTATTTCATTATGATGAGTGCACCTTTAATTTCAATATTGAATACTTTTATAAATATGCACTTAATACTATTGAAAAAAATTGAAAAACATGTCTGCAATATTCACATGAGAATTTTGCTGTTATTTTATTTTCCATGAAGATAATCAATATTCCACTTCAACTACATCTAAAAAGATATTATAGAATGTGAACATAAATGTATGATTAGTTAAAATTAATTACAGGCTATTAATGATGTGCAATTGTCATTACAATATGATTAATTGGTTGTGTACTATTAAAAGAGGAAACAAACCTGCAAGTGACTTGCCACATTTTCCCTGGTGAGTCCGGGTGTTTTCATGACTTCAAGAATCTTTTTTGGAACTGCGTCTGAATATGCACACAACAAAAAGCTCAAATGAATTGTGCCAATAACATTATGACAAAATCCTTAGTAATTAAACCCAAAAAGATCATGACACGAACAGATCCAAAGTAATATATACAATATAAAAACTCAGCAAAAGTGTATTTTTTGATCCTTTAATTTTACATAATCTTTTTATTTTATAAAATACTTTTTCAGTCCTTCAACCCAAATACTGTTACCAAAAAGTGCAACATATTGAAATTTTAAGTATATTATCAAATGCTGTCATATTAAATTTAATTTTCCAAATAACAATAATCATTACCCAAAAAAAAAATCGTGTGAGACAAACTTAAAACATATATAAATATAATGTTAAAAAACTAAAAGAGCACTTTGCTTGAAAATTAAAACAAATCGCACAATTTATAAATAACTAACTAATTTAATTAATTTTTTTTAATATTTACAAATTAGTTATCAAGTTTCTACATTTAAACTTGGAGGAGTAATACATACGATATAAAATCTCAAACAAGCCATATAGTTTATGAGCTGTGAATAGCACAACTAACTAATTTCTTAAGCTCCATGCAAAACATATAGATGAGACCTCAGAAAAAAGAACTTACTTTCTAATCCAATGATATTTATGGCTTGTAAGAAACGATTTTGAAGATCACTGGTCCACACAACTTTGCTCTTCTTGGTAACCCTGGACGACGAAGACGACGACGACCCATTATTGTTATCACCACCGCCTTCTGAAGCAGCATTATTCTTCACAGACCTCACCACAAACTCCTTTCTTTTCACAATTCTGTTTTCTTTTCTGAGGTTATTATTATTATTATGATATTCTTCCTTACTGGTACTCCATGAATCTTGAACACGACAATAATGATTTTCATCTTCTTGATCTCTTATTCTTCTTCTCATTAATGGTGGTGACGATGATGATGATGTAATTGTTGACTTCTTCTTGCCTTTCATTAATATTGAAGGCACTGCGTATTGCCATATACCTTTGAAGTCACTTTCTGTTGCTGGTTTCACTATGTAACGTGCCACACCACTCTTCAAGGCTTTCTCCATCATTCTCTCATCTTTGTCTATCGAAATCACTGTATGTACACATCCGAGAGCTCAGATGATAAGCAACAAAAAGGTTACAGATATAAAAAGGGTCACCCTCATTTTTAGTCCCAAGAATTGGATATTGTTTTGGTTTTGATCCCTATAACTCGGCTTCAATTTGGTTTGTCTAAAGATTTTTTTTGCCTCCGAAACAGTATTTTTGTCCCTAGAGTAGGCTTTCAAGGACCAAAATCATTATTATCAGAATTTAAATGAGGTCAAATTTTAAAGATTAAATATGGTATTTAATCTTATAAAAAATATTGTGATAGTCCCTAAATGGATCTAACGCTCCTTAACCTGCTTGCTAAATCGGGTTTAAGTGGATTAATACGAGAAAACTTGTCTAATCCATGATCAACCAAACACAAGTCAGGTTTTGATAGCTCTAGATGCTAATAAACTAGTTTACAAATAAATATTCTCTCAATTTCAAAATATATATAATTTTTATCAAATTTATAAAAAATGAAGTTAGCATGTTGGCTAAATTAAATAATGTTAAGTTAATTAGTATTTAGCTTCATATTAGTTAAATTATTTATTTTAACTGAATAAAATATCATGTACGTTTGAATTAATCTCATTCAAATCTAAGACATCTTGTTTAATTAATTAAGATATTATAAGTGATTTAAGATATTTTTATTATCGATCACAATTATTATTCGATATATTCGAGAGGTGGATAAGATATGAGGTATTTTCTGTCACAAATTTCACGGTCATCCAGCGGTGGCCACCATGAGTAGCATGATGAGGAATACATTGATACTCTTTTCTTCCTCTCGCGAGATGCCCAAAGAAAATAGGTTCTAGCAGATGACTCTTTATATGAATAGTATCTTGCTTTGAACCCAAATTTGATATGTCTCCCTCTATTTACTTTCTAACATGTTTTTAAATAAAAATTTAATTTAGCACCCTCATGTTCTACTCAAAATAAGTCTTTTCTTTGAAATTAAAAGAAAACCAAACATATAATTATATTTATATGCACATATATATCATATATATAGAACTAAAAAGAAATTTAAATGGCTTAAACTCATTTCTATATCCTTATAATGAAAAAGAAGAGAAATATGAGAGACTTACTTATTAATGGTATGGAGAAATGCTGATCAAGTTTGTGCTTGAATTGGAATACATCAATATCTGGCAAAAGAGGCTCTATCACTACTAGGTCGAAGTACCCTTCTTTCTTTCTTACTCTTTCCAACGCAATCAATGGATGCTTTGTTCCTTCAGCTGCAATTCCAATTAATTAATTCTCAAACACATTAATTTTCTTTCATCACCAACTTCTAAAATATTGCATAATAACAAATACCCAATCATATTGTATGTTTTTATGCAATATTATCTATCTAATACTTAATACTCCTCTGGTCCTTAATATAAGACCTAGTTAACTAATTTGATTGTATTAAGGAAATTAGATAAGTTAGTTAATTATAAGAAATATGACATGTTTTTCCTAAAACACCATAATCATCTTTCTTAATATCCTCCCTCTATCACTTACTTGATTATGGTTAAAAGAGTATCCATAAGAGCAATTTAGAAAAAACTGATAACTATGAGAAATAGGTCTTATATTTAAGATCAAAATTAACTTAACAATTAGATCATATATTAAGGACCGGAGGAGTACTATCCATCGGTATTAGTCAGGTCATGTTTTAATGATCTCTAAATTTATCTGGATCATACTCTCTTTACCAATTAGACTCATTCTTATTTTGGCCAAAAAAAAAGAAGTCATATTTTCATAAATCTCATATGGATACATATAGTGGGACGAGGGACATATGATATGCAGAGGCATGCTCATTTGTTAAATTTTTAAGACCCAAGCATGAAGTTTTTTTTGTGTGTGTGTGTAGATAATCCTAAACATTTGAATAAATTATATTAATTAACATTAGAATATAGGTTGAATATGTCCATGGAAACATATGACAAATAAAAAAAATTGATTTTTGGCAAAATCCCAAGAGAAAAAATACTTCTTGAATTTCAAAACTCCAAATTAGGAATTGCTACCAAAATATATTGTCATTTGCTTTTCAAGTGTGGCAAATTATTATTAAAGGATAGTAAACAAGACTAAATTAGAATTTTGAAATTCAAGAGGTTTTTTGGGATTTTTTTTCTTGAATTTTTACTCTTATTAATTAAATACTCTTGAGTTATATATGGACTTTCCTTAAATTTTGTCAAAATTTAACCAAAAAAACATTTTCATTTTCAAATTTAAAAAATTTAAAAAAATTTAAAATAAACTGTATGGACATTTTTCAAGTTTTGCTAGACATTTATGAAATTCACATTTTTCTTTCACAAAAACTTACATAAGTTTTAAAAATAAAGGTGGTATATAATATACAAGTGTTAGTGTTAGTATTATTTTAAGATTGATTTTTTTATCTTAAATTTACAAAGAAATTAATTTCAACAAAATTCAAGAAAACTACTTGATGAGTAAATTCTAGGGTCAAGTCATGCTTGGATAATCCTAGCTCATTGTCCGACTAGTTTAACTCTATGAAGACAGGACCATCTTTGTCCCCATTACTAGAACAACAATTAAAATATTAAAAAAAATTGTGAAAAGAAATTTTTAAAAGTAATATTATTTATAAAAAATAAAAAACAACAGAATAATTAAAAAAATAATGTTAAGTAAAGTCAAGGGGGTTCAAATCTTGTAAAAGAAACCAAAACATGTTGAAAAAATTATTTTTAATTAGACTGAACAATACTCGAATAACACATATAGTACTGGATATCATAGAGCTATACTAGCAAAAAGTAATATTTTATAAAATTGTGATTATAAATATATTAAGTAAAGAAATCAATTTAAAATTTTAATAAGATTAAAAGATGTGAATTTTAAAATGTCCCCACTATAATAAAATAGACGTGAAGGAAAACAACCTATAAAATCAAGGATTAACGAAAATTAGGTCTCAAAAGACCAATTAAATTATAGTTAGATTTCAAAGCAATCTCTAGTTACAAATTGTAGAGTAATAATGGCAAATCATACATTATAAAGTTGCAAATAAAAAAGTACTAATTGAAAATAATTATTTTGGAGTTTAACTGACATTAAATTAATATTGTTGGATTTTGTTGTCATTTCTCCTAAATCAAATCGATATTCATATATTAAAAAATTGTAAATATACAAGGTCGGTCGTGCTACGTGGACATCATTTTGTCTGCTTCTGAGCCAGCTTTGGCCCAATCCACTAAATTTAAAAAACATGCTATTTAAAAGCCTGCTTTTTTCCTTTTGTTTTTTAAGATCTTCCAATATTTTTAAAAAGCTAGGCCATCAAATTGAGGGATAAAATTATGTATAAATATGATATTTTTGACTTCATAGACAAATTCTTTTATATATACATATATATATATATATATTATAATTTACATATATAAGGTTGATCGGATTAGATAAAAATAATACTATTTACTTCTTAAACAATTTTAAAGCCGATATATTGGCCTAGAAGAACACCCCTATTATAATTAAAACCCACTAAAAAAATAGTAACTCAAATAGAGTCAAAGGGTCATTGGTCAAAAAAAATAGAGTCAAAGGGTCGAGGCCATCAAATTTGAACCAAAAATTTTTTTTGTATGCACATGAGAATTCTATATCTCCCCCAAAATACATATGAATATTCCCCTGTATCTTCTAATTTAGAGTAAGTTTGACCATGAAATAATGAAGGAAATAAAATATAAAATAAGAGAGATAATATATTTTCAGTTACCTTTATATTTCAAGGAAGCAAGTAATCCCAACGTAATCTCAAGCGAAGCAGCATCGCCATCAACAACCAGAACATGAACTTCAAACGGAGCTTCATTACCGTTTCTAATTGTATTTCCACCAAAATTAGTTAATTCCATCATTTCTGGCGTTAGAAGAGAAAAAAAAAAAACGCACAATTTCAGAAGAAGAGGAGGAGGAGAAGAATTTGAGGGATTCAGGGAGGCTTTTATATAATATAGTAATAAGACTTTTGAGGCTTCAATTTTTTGCTTTGAGATTTCACCAAATCTGAAATATTTATTAAATGAAAAAAAAAAGTGGAGTCAATGATGCTGGACCGGTGGTTTCGCCCGCTGATAATAGTTACACTCGGCGATGCCTTAAATCCAGTGGCTAGATTGCATTAAGTGCAAATTTACTGAAAAGATATGACATAATTATTAGGAAAAATTTCAACAAAAAAAAATCCTGAAATTAATATTTTTCAATTCAGACACTCAACACTTCAAAATGATTTTAAAAAATAAATTTAAATTAGAATTTTGAAATTCAAGAGGAATAACAAAAATGTCCTTTTGGAAACAATAATTTATTTGAGAAGAATAAGTCATGATTATGAAATAATAAGCCTCAATTTGAAATTAACAATGTTTTTTTTGATACATAACATCTGAAATGAATTAATTAAAAATGATAATAATTTACCTGAAAATAACAAGTCTTGATTATGAAATTATAAGTCTCCATTTGGAATTAATTAACAGCACATTTTTTCTAAGACATAACATATGAAATAACATGTAAATCAATTAAAAATGACAACAATTCATATAAAAATAACAAATCTTGATTGTGATACTACAAGTTTTAATTTGGGATTAACAATACTTTTTCAATAGGATTAACAAATGAGCATTTTTGTCATTTTTTTAATTTTAAAATTTTAATTTGGGTTTACTTCCTTTTCTATTATTTTAAAGTGGTAGATGCTTGAATTAAAAAAAATACTAATTTCAGGGTTTTTTTTGTGGAAATTTTCTCTTATTAATTAAGTTAATGTTTATTGTTGTGAAATTAACCAGCAATAAAAATAGATTGGAGAAGAGAAGTAGACAAGAAAATGAGAGAATGATATTGTATTCCTTCACTTGCTTCACTTGCATCACAATACAATGACATGCCTTATTTATAGGTATAGTCTTACACATAAGTTACATTTGTACTTAAATGATAGATAGTGGACAATAAACCACATGAATAAGAGTGGGGGGAGTTACAAGATTAAAGGCATAGTGGAAAGGTAATGGAGTAGTAGAAAATTAATACCTAGTGGAAGTAGTGGGAGTTGATGATGAAGTTGAGAGGAAGAGGAAGAGGAAGAGGAAGAAGATGAGATGGACATCCACATGTTATAATATTCATAACACTCCCCCTTGGATGTCCATTATATAAGATATGTGTCTCATTAAAAAATTTCAACTAGGAAAAACCCTGTGGGATAAAAATCTAGTAGAAGAAATGGAGTACACATTCACTGACACACTATTCAATGCTGCCTCATTAAAAACCTTGCTAGGAAAATCCAGTGGAAAAAAAAACCATAGACAAAGGAAAAAGAGTACAACGTGTATTAACTCTCCCTCTTGATAACATCAATTGATATCCCTGAGTCTGCGACATCCGATATCATAAACAAAATTTTCAAATATTGTAATAGGAAGTGACTTGGTGAACAAATCTGCTAGATTTTTATTTGAACGAATTTGCTAGATATATATTTCACTATCTTTTGGATATTATGAGATAAATACTCCATTGGGAATTACCAGCATGTGAATCAGAAAAGAATCTAGAATTCTATTCCAATGTCTTTGTTAAAGAACTATATCTTACCAGTAAGTTAACAGCAAATGATATGTGATGTCATGCATAATTGATAAGATATGATATGGTACTTCTGGACATATGATTTGGTACTTCTGGACCAAGTAGTTTTTCATCACCTTCTCAAAATATATAAGGTTCTTTATTCACCTCCACAAATCTCACAACCATCAAAGTATATAATGGATGTGATTTATCCATATAAAAACACTTTAAGGCCTTTCTTGTATCAATTATTTGATATACACAAATCTTCATTTATCAAGTATTCAATTTACAATCCGAAGCAAAACTTTGTTCTTCCCAAGTCCTTCATGTCAAATTCTTTCTTTAAGCAATCCACAGCTTCTGTAAGCTCTTCAGGAGTTCTAATAATATATATGTCATCAACATAAACAACAATTATAGCAAACTTATTTTTCGATCTTTTCATAAAAATGCATGGGCAAATTGGATCATTTTTATGTCATTTCTTCAACCGATATTTACTTAGTCGGTTATACCACATACGCTCTAATTACTTCTGGCAACTTATTTAACTTAATCATTGTTTTCAAGAACTTAAATTGTATGATTCTGGCAAGTGAAATTCTTTAGGGAATTTCATATATTTTAATTCAAAATTATAAAATGGATCATACATACTGAAATTATTTTAATCCTCATAATATTTTATATACTAAAAGATTTTCTTATATATGCTCCTGGCATATTTTTGATCCTTCAAGGATTATCATGTAAATTTCACTATTAATGATCCTCATCCATAGGTCATAATAATATCTAGGGTTAAGGTGCATTTTTAACAACAAAGTTTACCTTAAGGGGCATTGGGCACCATAAAGTTTATTAAGGTGCAAAAATATACATGAAGTTGTCAAAAGGGAGCATCTGGTACCATGCTGTTAACGTCCGTCAGTTTACCGTTAGAGGGGCCCAGAAAGTCAGTTTTAAGGTGCATTTTTAACAACAAAGTTTGCATCAAGGGGCATTAGGCATCATGAAATTTACTTGGATGTAAAAATATATATGAACTTTGTAAAAGAAAAAAAATAACAAAATTCTTCAACCTTCATAAACGTCCATTAATTTTATTCTTTTAGATCTCACCAAATGCTATATTTTCTCTCCATCAATTTTCACTTCCAAGTCGATCCATCTTTCTCTCATCATAGTCAACACGTATACTCTCTCTGTCATGTCGTTTTCTTAGCCTCCAAGCCTTTTATATGTATTTAAGCAAAATACATCTTTCCCTTCTAGGATATGAGGTTTATTGCTTGTATCTTAGTACTACCTCCAGTCCTTAATATAGGATGCAATGGACTAATTTGAGGAGATTAAAAATAAATAAATAAATTACTTTAAAATATTATATTTATTGTTTTTCTCCAAATTAATTTTCTTGGCTTGTAAACTAATATATAATTTAATGATGCATATAAATATTTTAGAGAGATCATGTACTATACGCTATTGCGTCAAATAAATAAATAATATAATATTTAAAGTAATTTATTTATTTATTTTAACCTCCTCAAATTAGTCCATTGTATCCTATATTAAGGACTGGAGGTAGTACTCGGGTGCAAGTAATGAACCTTATATCTTAGAAGGGAAAGCTGTGTTTTGCTTAAATACATATAAAAGGCTTGGAGGCTTAGAAAACGACATGACAGAGAGTGTGCGTGTTGACTATGATGAGAAAAAGATGGATCGGCTTGGAAGTGGAAATTTATAGAGAAAAAATATAGCATTTGGTGAGACCGAAAGAATAAAATTAATGGATGTTTATGGAAGTTGAAGAATTTTGTCATTTTTTTCCTTTTACAAAGTTCATGTATATTTTTACACCCAAGTAAATTTTATGGTGCCTAATGCCCCTTGATGCAAATTTTGTTGTTAAAAATGCACCTTAAAACTGACTTTCTGGGCCCCTCTAACGGTAAACTGACGGACATTAACGGCATGGTGCTAGATGCTCCCTTTTGACAACTTCATGTATATTTTTGCACCCAAATAAACTTTATGGTGCTCAGTGCTCCTTAGGGTAAACTTTGTTGTTAAAATTGCACCTTAACCCTAATATCTAACAGGCGCATTTCATAACTGCCAGACTATTCAAATATGTAAAATTATATCCACCACAAAGTAATATGTCTCATCATAATTATTTGTGAAAATATATATTTTCACATAAACGTCTATATATTTTATAGAAACTTTATATGTGTTGGGATTACAGGCCCATTTTCACATATCGAAATAATATTTTCATCACGTCTTTTCTCTTTTCCTTTTCTTCTTGGCCAAATTTATATTTACCTTGTATGATAGATCTATACGTAAGATCCTCTTTTTATCATGTGATATTCTTATGAAAATCATTGTCGACAACTTTATCTTTTCGGTTCAATTTTTTCTTCTGTGACATAACTTGTTGAGATCTCTTTCTTCCTTTTCAGGTACCTGAACCTCTTCTGGGGTTTTACAATTAGTTATGTCTTGACACTCTTCTAAAGTACATGCCTCCTCAATACAACTTTTAAGTTGTATGATCTTCTTTATTCAAGATATTTATATTGGAACCGATTAACCTCTCATGCTTCTGACATGTCTTAATATTTAAAATAATTAGAGCATTTTCAGCTGGAATAAGAGATTTAAAAATTTTCATTCAAGTCAGTAAAATATTTTGTAGTATTTCATGAATGCAATTTTGATGAACTTCTGGTCCATTCTGATATATATAAGGATCTGTATTTGATAATAATGATGCATTCCATGTATTCTCTTTTCCAGCTACTCAATTTCTCCCCCTCATGTTAGGAAAATTTTGTCGAATAATAGTCAACTAATTATGCAGTATAAGTCTCCTAAATCCATTTGTTTCTTTGAGGAACATTGTTTTGTTCCATTTAGAGACAAACAAGAAGAAGGAGGTTCTTACCCAACATATATCCCAACTTTCTTTTAATATCCATCTATGTGCATTGTGGTGGATTGGTAGGAATAAATATTGCACATTTTAATTTTTTTAAATGAAAAATATCTTGCTCCTTACCAAAAGCCAATTTTATTGGGAGAATTTTGTTGTCTTGATATCTATAAGTGCTGCAATATATTAAGTCAAACATGCCAACACTAAAATAAAAAAATTTGTTCTCATAAATATTGATCAAGCTATTCACGGAGGCATTAACAAATGATTTTGCTAGACCAATATGTTAAGCAGGCTTTTTAATATTAAAAGCCT